TGAATCACTGGTTGTGTCCATACTTTGCACACATTTATCACTCACTCCTTGTTTGCCATTCATTTGCAATGCATTCCTATTAATAGACATCTCTTTCGCAACACTTTTCCCCAAATTATTCACATTTTGCTCGCAATTAGTGTTCAATTGTTTGCAAACTTCTGTCACAACAACACAACACAACAACAAAACCCTTTCTCTTCAACGACTTGTCGACCATTTCTTCACTTTTCCCACACTTTTGATGACTATTTAAATGACAATCAATTCATTGAATACTAAATCCCTTTCTCTTCATTATACCGACAATTGGTTTACAATTCAAACACAAATCAATTCAATCACACAATCACTGCAACAACACATGTATTGACAAACAAATAGTTATTTATAATAAATCACACAATTATTATGAACTATAAAACTATTATTACTTTTAATAATCACTTTAAAAATAGTTACAAATAATTATAAACACAATAAATATGTTTAAAATGAACTCAAATGGCAATCAAAACACAAAAACAATGCAATTAAAGGGCAAACCGTGAGTCACGTGACTCTCACATGTGTTTCACAGCCAATGCTTAACACAAACACCGGTTTTGAATGTGAAGTCCATTGCATTCAATACTATACTAATTAATAGTCGTTTGAATTGCTTTTCATTACCGGTAATGGATTTTATTATTAGAAAATTAATGGCATTAATGAAATTCAATAAAACACAATATTATACATTATATTATCTAATTATAAAACATTTCATTTCATTACAATCATAATAATCATACATTTTGTGACTAAACTTAAACATCAACTTGAATTGAATATTAGTATAAAACATGTTAATAAATATAAATCTATAAAATATCACCAGTATATATATTAAAAAACAAAAATTACTCGTAAACTTAAAAATATAACAAAACTGTAATCTCTTCGGAAAATATAATTTATAAAAACAATTCAATATTTAAAAAAAACTTCAAAATGAATGACACATTAGTTTTTGTGCGGAAAAATAAATGCGAGAAAAAACTTTCCGTAAGTATTGAGCCATAAATCGGATATTAATTTCTATTCATAAATAGTAATTTGCAATCAATTTGTCGTTTAATTCATTAGTTTTTAGACTTTAAGTGAATTCATAAATTCAGTCAAAAGTTTGTTTTCGGAGAAAAAATCGTAAAAAAGTTTTTTGTATTGACTGTAAAATGTCTGATAAATACGGTATTCAGAGCTCAAGTATTATTATACTACACGTTAGGAAGCATTGAGAGAGACATTGAAAGTTTGTTTTCAGAGAAAAAATCGTAAAAAAGTTTTTCGTATTGACTGTAAAATGTCTGATAAATATGGTATTTAGAGCTCAAGTATTATTATACTACACGTTAGGAAGCATTGAGAGAGACATTGAGAGCACCGGTAGCTCTACTTCTTCTTATTCTTGCCGAGCATTGACTGTTGGAGTGTTAGGTTAGCGCCGGCGCCGCCTAACACCGACTGTTTGCGGGCGTTGAGCGCCGCGATGTCGTCGTCCAGTTTCTGTTTGTCTAACTCCAGGCGCCGCTTATCCTCCGTCGACTGCTTCTTAAGCCTATCGAACCTCAGGTGCAGTTCCTTCTCGGCCTCCTTCAGCTCCGCCTCCTTTCCCTTAACCCTATGAGTTAACCACAAATGAAAAACACATTTAATTCATAATTCAATTGATAACTAAATTATAGAGTGTTTAGCCATAGGCTTAACCCCTCGCCTACGTGTCATACCCGTCCCCCACCACAGACGCCTACACCCAAACCCCGATTGCATACCTGAGCACAAATCTCTCGCGCATCTCATCCTCTTCTCGCTTCATTTCTTTGAGATGTGCGGCGTATAGCTTATTGTAGGTCTTCTCACAACTGGTGGTCTTAGCGGTGTCTCCGGCGCCCACCGTTCCGAAGTCTATCTGTTCCAGACGTACGCGACGGTAGAGCTCGTAGTGACGGGAATGAGTGGTCTCTCGCAAGTCCTCCATATTTATGCGCAAAATCATGTCCCGGAGCCGCACGAAGTCGCAGTGGTTCTCGTTCTCCACTATAGAAATGGGGGGAAAACTCTTCAGTCATCACTGCAAACGGTTCCCACACAACACAACCCATACATACCCTGAACGGTGCCCCACGGGTACACTCGGGCCCTCATCTGCTTACTGTCCACCTCAACAAACTCATTACTGGCCATCACTGCGAAGGGCAACAGAGTGTTGTTCTTGCCGTTCAGGTCAGCCACGTCTGTGTCATCGGTGGGGAAGCGATAGATATTGATCCCATTGGTGACAATCTCTGACATGATCTTCACCCGCAGTCTCTCCAACTCTAGTCTCATAATTGTGTCCGATTTGGCGATTAATGGGATCAGATTGCATTTGGCGGCCAATGAGCGCATTGTCACCAAATCAATGGCTCTGAGGCCGTGACCGACGGGTGATATCATATACAGACAGATGTGGACGCGGGTGTCGTTCACCGGCGACTGATTTCTATGGATCTTCAGCTCCTCCTGGAGGTAGCGCTCGAACTGCTGGTCGATGTACTCTACCACTGACTTGTAGGAGTCCCCTGTTTGACGGGGAAAGGGATGTAAAAAAGTGGTGTTATAAGTCATACTCCTATCAGTTATAAATGCTATGCTATGTTAGGCTACGGCTTATCCCTGACCAGCGCCGGTACTGTCGAGTGCTATGCCATCGTATTGGAGGAACGGACAGACACTACAGTCCGGGGCCGGTGTTCAGCGCATACAACACCTCATATCACAGGCCAGGGCTGTCATGAATAAGACAAATCACTGTCTAATGAGCGGTACCGGCGCTGAACCGTTAGCACAGGTATGCTATCATAACATAACACACGCTATAATCTACTCAATGGAGACAAACCTTTGTTGATCTGATCGCCGAAGCCTTTG